GTCTGCACACATAACTTGTGTCTGCGCAGGGGGAAAACGGGTGCATTGTGCTATTTGCACTCCCTGATCAAGGCGTTGCCTGCCCATCTGTGGCCTGGGGTTCAGGGAATGATGGTGCATCCTTTCTGCTGACGTGGGAGTGCTCTATCAAGCAACTTTAGCCATGAGTTACAGAGAACAGGACCTGAAACCAGTTGGAAACAGTGCTCCAAAATTGCTCGGGCTTCCTGGCAGCTCAGTTCTGGGAAGGGACTAAGCCTGACAAGTGAGAACACAGCTTCTGTGGGTGGTATCCTGTCCCCATCTGGAAGTGCTGAAGCCAACAGGAGCTGTGTAGTTGTGAAAGTCTTGGAGGTTTCTAACTCATTTGGCTGTTGCTCCATGTCATAGAGGGAGACATACAGGCAGGCAGACACGCAGGCCCAGACCCCCAAGACTTGGGCTGGAGCAGAAAACTTCCTAGGGTGGTCATGCAGTATCTCCGGAGGGGCACTGTGCTAATAACCGGCCTGGTGTAAGGCAGGAGTCCCCAGGGCAGGATTCACAGGAACTCAGGATCAAGCCCCAAAGCCAGTGGATCTGCGAGGAGTGTGACCAAGAGCTTTGTTAGGGAAGGATTAACAGAGTCAATGACGAGCCCAGGGACATGTGGGTGGCTGTCGCTGGGGGCTTGCGTGTTGGACATGATGAGGACGATCACATGCCAGCATATGGCGGAAGCTATCTAAGTGCGGAGAAGGGGTTGCTTTAGCAGCCCGCAAATAATCATAAGTAACTAAGTGAAAATATTAAGTGCATAGTCAGCTCTTTATCATGTAGCTCCACTATGCTGGGTGGGGAGCAGCATTAACAGGAACTAATTGATATGTTTAGGATATTGTCTATGTACTATGAAAGACAGTCTGACCCGAGGAGCTTATGTGCTAGAGACCCAAACGGCTTGCACTGGGCAGGTGACTGTACCTAATGTGCCTCTTGTAGTGGTTTCTCAGCATTTCCTGTAGTGCGATTCTCCTCCTGTAGCCCCTTTCCACAAGGGTGATAGCCTCCACATCTGCATGGAGCATTATTCCAGACCAGCTCTCGTCATGGACTGTGGCTTTTCTTATTCCACTGTAAATGTCTGACCAGGGAGTCCATCATGCTTGGTTATCCTACCTAGTTGGCATGAGCTTCCCTTGTGTAGAGGGCCATCTGCTGCCTCTAGGGCAGGGGTAAAAGTCTCCATTGCACAATTGGCCTAACAGAGTCCTAGACTAGAAGGACCTGTTCCAAGTGGCTGTCCTCCTGCACTGCGTACCAGCTGGACCACAGCCACTTGCTGGTACAATAATGACATCTACTGGAAAAACTCTTGTACTTTGGGTTTTACATTCAGTGAGGAGAGGCTGGGCAAGTGTAGCAACACCCCCGCCTTGCATGACGCAGGTCTGGCCCAGTTACCCTACTCTGTGCATCACACGCCAAACTCTGTCCAGTTTGAATCTGACTGTCTAACCAATTGAAGGGGGCCCAGGCTGAACCCCTCAGACTTCAGGGTATTTGGTCTCAAGAGCTAAACCTCCGGGTGAGAGTCTATTCCTATCACGGGCACCCTGGTGTTCTGGAGACGGGTGTCCTGGGAGGGCTTTTGCAGCTTGGGCTCAGCTCTGAACACCCATAGGAAGCGGGAGCGGTGCTTGTACAAGAGAGAACAGCAGCAGAGCAAGCATCCTCACCCAGTGTATCCCACCAGGGCTCCTACCTACAGGTGAAGGGGGCATTGCCTCCCTGCCAGAGGCGAAGACTACTCGCCTTGGCTCATTTCATCCTTGGTGTCTCAGCCAAGTGCAGGGACCAGTCCACTATGATGCTCCAGTCTCAGAATTGCTTTTCCTTTCCTGTAAGATTCACACCAAACCCAGGCTCCATCTCTCAAGAGGCTCACACAGTCCCCTGCTAGCAGGACTCTGATGGTGCCAGTTACTTAGGTGGGTTGTGACCATATAAAACTATGAAAAAATAGCTTGCTGAATAGGATTGACTTGAATGGGCCCAGGAAGGTTATGGGGAAGACAGGCCAGGGCACTGGGTGTGGTCAGGATGGTGAGACCACGGCACACTTCCCTGCTTAGAAAGGAGCAGAGCTCAGCTGACCTGTGAGCTCCTTTAGCAATGGTTGTGTCACACACTCAGATGCCACCTGTACTTGTGGATCCCTATAAAATCTCTACCCCGGGGGAGACCACAGTGAATGCAAAGACAGTCCTGAAACAATACAACCACAGGAAAAGTTGTATAAAAGCTAGTGTTGCCAGCATGGTGATAGTTTATCACTGGATCTGTCACTGGATCACTGGATCTTTTCTTGGGGGTTCCCAGACAAATGGTCTTTATTAATGCTTTTGTGTCTGTTTCCTTTAGTGACACTAGTGATGTCTTCAGGTTGCCCTAGCAATGTCCAGGAGCTCTTTGAGGATGACTTGCTTCCTGGCACTGGCAGCCTACCTCAAAGCTGCATTCAACTGAGGCTGTAAATCAGGGGTGAGCATAATATGGCCTGCGGGCCGGGTCCCGACCAGGTGATTTTATCTGGCCCATGGTGGGTCCACCTAGCCCAGGTGTGGAGGGCAGCTTAGGCCATGGCTTGTACATCTGGCCCTGCCATACCCTCTGTGGAAGTGCTGCCTGGCTCGAACGGCTCTCGGGAATGCTGTGGGGCCACGTGGCATGGCAGCAGAGCAGGGGAGGCAGCGTGGCTGGACATGGCTTCCTGGCAACCCCCATGACAGCAGCTCTCTGCCCTCATGCTTCCGGCTGCTGCTGCCAGCATCTCTGCCACTGCTGCCAGCCCCAGCCCCGCTGCCTGCACACCCCAGCCCGTCTGCCCTGCACTCACTGCCAGGGGCACTGGATGGAGCAGGCAGGCAGGCAGGTTCATGGAGACTGGCCTGGGACCCCTGTGGGCAGGGCATGCTCAGCCAGGCAAACAGGATGGAGCTGCGGATGGGTGGGGAGCAGATTCTGGGCCCAGCCCCGTGCTGTCACTGCCCTACGATCCCAGCCCCACCTGCCCATCCTGCTCCCTGCCTGCCTGCAGCCCCATCCCATCCTTTTTTCTTTAAAGACATTTTTCCTGTTCCAAGCCAAATCAGTCAAATCAAGTCCAAATCCTGGAGTCAGTCCAGAATCATAAGTGGCCCTACAACCGGCAAACATCCTCCATCCACACCAGGGGCATCAGATATTTCCAGTGTCTTTTGGCAGGCATCCTACGTGCAGGCCCAAGCCCCCAAGTTTTGCCCACTCTCAGCCATATGGCCGCAGGAACAAGCTAGGGAGGAGCCTCCCATTTCTATAAAAATGGGCAGGCAGCCCCATCCCATCCACCCAGCCCAGCGTGCCCTCCCCACGGGCATCCCAGGCTAGTCTCCATGGAAGCCCTGCCCACCCAACCCATCCGGCGCACCCAGCAGTGAGTGATGGATGGAGCCAGGGCCATATAGGATCAATTGGCATCTCCTCAGCCCCTCAACCCCACACCAGGTGGTGTAAACAGCCGTGATGGAGCCCAAGGCCAGATCAGCACTTCTCCCCCTCCCCACAAGCTCTCAACAGCTCATCAAAGCTCCCTAAGTGGCCCTCCAGCCCAAATAATTGCCCACCCCTGCTCTAAATATAGCAGCTAGCCATTCCTGTGGCCACCACAAGGTGGGGCGATGGAGATGGGTCTTAATCCTTGGCCTCTGTTTTATGCAGGGCCTGGGTTGCACAGCCACGAACTCTCCCAGGTCGAGGGGGCTCCAAGGCTGCTTCCTTTGCAGCCTCCACATGGCACCACCTTGCCCACAGGAAGGGAGAGTGATGCTCGGGCAGCTCTTTGGAGGGCGGCTGGCAGGATGGGGCCTGCTGGTAGCTCAGGCTCAGGGAGGCTCTGCCAGGTGGTGATGGCTTCCCTGAGGATCGCAGGGTTGCAAGGGGCCTGAAAAAGCCCTTCTGCCCTGGGCTCAGCCCACTGGGGCCTCTGAGATGATGCCCTTCACCTCTGACCATCTGTGAGTGCCCGCCAGCGTGGGACAGGACTGGCTGGCCCAGCAGCAGACTTTGGGCCCTCGGGCCGAGAGGGGGGCTAAAAACAGTGAGCTGGGTTCTGCTAGCACGAGTCACCCAGGGGAGCTGGGGGGTCCCCAGGGGCCTGTGGGGGGAGTTGAGAGGGTCCCAGGGGGTTCTCTGTGTGTGGGATGGTTTGGGGGGATCCCAGGTGGCCTGGGGGGCGTCTGTGTGCGGGGAGGTTTAAGGGGGGGGTCGCAAGGGGTGTGTGGGG